TTAAAATAATAATAAATTTTAAATTTTATTATTTTATTTAGATAATTTTTTGTAATTTTATCATATTTAAATAAATTTTTAATTTACATTTAAATAATTTTTTAATTTTTAATTTGTATTCCTATAAATCTTTAATTTTTAATTTGTATTTAAGTAAGTCTTAATATAAATCATTTTTTCATTTGAAATATTAACTTATTTAAATATAAATTAACTTATAAAAGTTTATTTGAATCTAATAAAAATATATAAACCTATTTAAGAAAATTAATATAATTCAAAAAAAATTTTAATATTTTAACCTTTGTTAATTGATCAAAGAAAATAGTAAATATATCATAAAAAAATAGGAAAATCAAGCCAAATTCCCTTTTTTATGTAATCTTGATAGTAGCAATTCAGGAAAATTTTTCAAATTTCAGTTAATTATTTTGCAATAGTTTATGATCTTTTATCTACGAAAAACTATAAGAATAAGAGGATCAATGAGTTATCCTAATAAATAGAAGTCCAATAAACCTACAATTTTTAAGAAGACTAAATTAGGGTAAAACTTCAAAATTTTATGTTATATTATAAAGTGTAATTAGAATATTTTTTCAAGAAAAGTTGAGTCACTATTTACTTGTTCTGCTGAACGTCCCCAACCTCACTTGCAGTGAAAATTTAAAGACTTAAAACATAGAAAGAAGTTTTAACAAAAGATAATGCATAGAAGTATAGTTTACCAATTAATTAATGCCTGTATTTGCACAGTTAATGAAAATTAAAAAAAAATCAAGATAGAGTTATTGCTTAATCTTAAAAATTAATCTTCAAAGATTGATGCGTTAAACGAATTAAATATAAAAAAAAAATCCAAATATCAATGGACAAGTAATAATATCTAGAATGCGAGAAAATGAGATTAATTTGCAAAGGTAAAAAAAATGCAAAAATAAATAATTGCAAATAATTTCTTCAATAATAAAGGTCTATATATTTACAGGCTACATCTACGAAGTTGGTAAATGCCAATGGTTTTATTCACTTTAAACGATGCAGCCAGTTTGAACTTTTGCAAAGTTTTTAATTATTGAATCCTATCCTATAAATGGGGAAGCATCAGCCTAATTTTCCGGTGAATTAACAATTTGACAAGCATTGAAAATGATACATCTTTCATCATGCTTCTTCCTAATTGCTTGTTTTCAGTCAATTCATTGTTTTCATCATCAATGCTCGAGCTTTTGCTCTCTTTTTTTTAATTTTTTCAAAAATAACATTTATCTTTTTAATTTTTTCCTATTGATAAATTGTACCTTTACCATTAAAAGAGACGAAAAGTTAAGTTATTGTTACATGAATATGATCATATTAAAAGGGTAATTAATTAAAAAGTGAATTATGAAAGTGTTAATCAAACTCTTAAAAAGTAACATTATATGATATCGAGTTTAATCATATTCATGTTCCATTTTAATTAAACTTAATCATTTTCTTAATTTAATTAATTAATAACCCTATTACTATGAAACTTAAAAAGGAAGGCTATTGAATTTGGGCATGATTTCAACTTCTATATAACAATATAAAACCTTGTACACATAAATGGTTGACATTGGATATTGTATGTAAATCATTGTTAGTAATGATTGAAGGGGAAGGACCATGTCTCTTTAACATACATTTTACTCCCTCAAAGCTATCTCTCTTATCTTCAAGTTTTTTTTTTTTGGATTTAATCTTTTTCAAAATGAACTACTTTCACAAAACCTAATTGTTTGTCTTTAAAATTACTTTGCAAATTATATGTAAATTACTCAAAAATGATATTTAAATCTGCACTTGGAAATTAAATAAGTATAGCCACTAATATTGATCTATCTTTTAAGGAAAAATATAATATTTGAAATTAAATTGTAAAAGAAATAACTTCAATTTTTTTTCAAATTTAAGACTTTCATGTCCTGTCCTTTTTGTCCAACTCTTCTCTTGGAAAAAAATAAAAAAAAAAAGAAGAGGGAAAGTGAACATCGAAAGGAAAAGGAAAATGAGAAATGGGAGAGAGGTGGCGAGTGGCGACCCCCGACAGGAACGAACTGAAGTGGGTCAGATCACAAGAGATGGGCCCCAAGTGAAATAAAAACATCGGCCTACTTTGTCAATCAAATTGGTCTGGAAGTGGGCCCAAAGGATGGTGCACCCACCTGACGTGGGGCCATCAACACCTCATCATTGCTTTTATGGTCCTGTGCCCGTCAACGCGTTCGATGCTTCCCAGGACTGGACCTAGCTCCTCCGGTCCTCCCCTTCCCCCCCAACCCCAGGGCCCAGGGCTTCCCCTCCCCCATTTCCTTCCATGTGCATTGGCTTTTTCCATCTTGATTTTGACTTTACACTAACATCCCATTACAATTTTTTTTTTCTGTTTTAACAAGTTCTAATTGTTTCCCTCAATTCTCAAATTTTCTTGTGCTCTTGTCTTGCTATTACTTTTGTTATTAGTCTCTGTACCATTAATTATGTACATTTATAAATGTTAGTTAGATATTTTCTTTTTTGTTGGAATCAATTTTTTTTATTATTAATTATATGTGAAGTAGATAATATATAACGTGTCATTATAGATTATTATATTGTTTGATTTAAGGATTTAATTGAATTGAATTAAGTAAATGTTTTATCAATTTTAAATTAAACTTGACTTTAAAATTAGAGATAAGATATTTGATCAATTTTATTTTTCAAGTTATAATTTATTTTGTAATTTACTTGTTTGTTGAATAAAATAGTAACTATGACTATGTGCTTTAAATCGTTTGGATTTTATGAAATAAGAAGCTACAATCAAGGGTATGTTTTGAAAAGAGAGGGGGTCCAAATATAACAAGCTAGCCAGGCTTGTAACTTATGCAAGGGAAATGGCAATTCATACTTTGATCATTTGTCTCTTGTTTATTTTTCGGACCTAAAAATAAATCAATTTGGCTTTGCCCGGTGGTTCAAACTTGTAAAATGCTTTAAAAATGAATAACAATTTTATTAGGAGACTAATTAAAGTTAAATTGGTTACTAAATAATCACAATATACTTGATAAATAATAGAAACAATACTAATATTGTTAGTAAGGATTAAACTTGTTCATGAATCGGATCAAGCCGATTTAATCTCATATTTTAATTTTTTTTAATTTAGATATTGATTTGAAATTTAAATGAATTTAAAATTTATTTTTAAGTTTTTTTATTTTAATTCTTTTAAAAATTAAATAGATTTTTAACCGAATAATCTAATCAATGAATAAGTATAATAAAAATATTGAAATACCTAAAAAATACTGAATAATATAAAAGTTAGCTTTATTCTTAAAGTACATAGCTTTTAGGATCAAACATAAAAATTTTCAAACTCCATTAATTAAAAGTAAAATATGAAGCCTTATTTCAAGTCAATGAAGTTAGCTAAACTTACATATCTCGCATAATATGCTAAATTGATCATAGCGATGGATGTACGAAACAAAAGAAAATTTTTGCCGTTTCTTAATATTTTTTTAGGGTTTTGGGTTTCCAATCATCTAGTATAAAACAAGTAAAAGCCAACATATTAGTGGATCGAAGAGGAAAAGGTTCCCGAAGGGGATGGGACATATGGTTTTGGAGAATCCCATAGGCTTTGTCTTAGACAAGAACATCGACTCTTTAATCCCAGCCATAAGTTAACAAGGGTAAGAACATGTGATAGGGATAAGTATGAATAAATTATTGAAATTTGGTGGTATCCAAAGATGAACATAAAAGATTATATTAACTATAAATTCAAGATTGTAAAAGAATCAAATATTAATAATAAAAATTTATGTCTGTGGTTGGTTTATTTAATTTTAGAGTTGTTATATTTGATACGAAAATAACTTATTGCATTTAAGTTTAATTTATTTAAATAATAAAATATTCACATTTAATTTATATTCGATTCATTCAAGTTAAACGAAATTATTTATAAATATTAAAAAATATATTTATAAATAACAAATAAATTTAAACAAATAAGCATATAATTATTAAATTTAAAATAAACTAATATAAACAAACTTTAAATGAATAAATTTTCAATAAATCTTAAATAAATTTATTTACAAATATAAATAAATCAAATAAATATTTATTCGCAATCAATTTTTTAAATAAATAAATATAAAAATATTATTTAAAATTATTTTTTAAATTTAATAAATAAATATAAACGAATAAAAATCAAATGTATTCATAAATAATTAATTAAAAAACTCTGTTAATTTATACTTTTAATTACGATGAGTGGAGAAACTTGGTTTGGCGTAGGTTTCTTATCCGAAAGCGTCTGTTCAATGCCGCTAACGATGGACGGGAGCAGACGCCCATATTGGTTTTCTTTCTGACACTGGACAAGTCCTAGTTTGGGAGGGCAACTTGCTTTTGATATTTCAACAGATGACCCATTTTTTGGGCCTGTAATTAACGTCAACAAGAGATTATCTATAAGATTGAAACATAAAATCGCTTGCATCAAAACGACTGAATTTACGAATTTACATATTGATTGAACCAACCTCCTCATGTTGGTTCCACCCATGAATGATTAATATTAATAGATTAACAATTTAAAATATAATAAAATAATATGATAAAAAATAAAAATAATCTAATTTAAAATTTTAACAAAAACTATATATAAATTTAATATAAAATAAAAAATATTTTTTATTCTGACACAAATTAAAACCATATGAAACGTGACATAAATTACTATTAACATTTTATATCAAAAGAGTACACCAAATTGTCCAATCTAAATGATCATCACCCCATGAAGCCTAAGTAAAAAAATAGGCTTTAGTTCTTTTGATATAACCCATAGATATTAAGAACTATCAGATTAGCAGCCCATCAATGCCCAATTGAAAATGGGCCTTACATCCTTAATAGTGTATAGAGGAAAAACCCATGTCTTTTTTTCTCATTGGTGCATCATCATTCATCTAACAAGAGCAGTCAAAGTCAAAAGACAATTCCAGAACAACTAACGGTCGTCTCCAATCTTTCCCAACCAAAATTCCACCGTTAAATCAAATCACAAACGCAAACAAAATCTCATATTTCTTCATTAGCAATGAACGACCATGATTGCCGAGAACAGTTAATCCGTCATACTGCCGCCCTTACCTTATCATTCTCACCTTGTCACGAACAACACCCAACGGCGCAGCTTTGAGACACGTGTTTCGCTTTCTGCTCTTCCTCTTCCGCTTCGCTTCCAACATTACATTACAAACTGAAAATCTTTCCTTTTTAAAGAAACATAATTTCGATTGCCGATTTGGTCGTTAGCCAAATTTCCTTTTTGGGTTTTTGTCTTAAGATGGGAACCGGAGATGAAGTAGTGGAAATCGAGAGCTTAGAGAGAAGTTTGTTATCGGAATCTGTTACCGGAGAAGAGGAGACGGGTGCAGACGATGACCCGGTTCTTTACACGGCGTCGTTTGGGGAAATGGAAGAGGATTTCGTCAAATACCAAACAGCTCAATGGGCTTTATACTCATTGGTTTTAATATTAGCTTGGGGTATTGGGTTGTTCATGCTCTTATACATTCCCGTTCGAAGATACATTCTCCGTAAAGATATTCGATCTCGGAAGCTCTATCTCACTTCTAATTCCATCGTTTACAAAGTAAATTTTAACCCTTTTCTCTTTTCTAATTACCTTCAACAAAATAGTCTCTTGCTAACGTTTTCCTTTGGCAATTCAGGTTACAAGGCCAGTGCCAATTCCATGTTTTGGGGTTCTAAAAAAAGAGAAGCATGTTCTATTACCTTCAGTTGCAGATGTTGTAATTGAACAAGGTGAAAAGAATTCATGTGCTTTAACTGTTTTTGATAAATGGTGAATCTTTATTTATCTATTTTTTGTATTGTCGTTTAGGATATTTGCAGTCTCTTTTTGGTGTTTACTCACTTAGAATTGAGAATGTTGGTGTAAGGAGGCCACCCAGTGATGATGTACAAATCCAAGGCATTGCTAACCCAAGTGCTTTTAGGAAGGTATATTGTTAATTATCAAAATCATAATTGTAGTTGCCGATTTTTTTAGAAATGGGTGCTGATTTATTTTCCTCCCATGCTCATATCAAGGCTGTTTTAACACGCCTTTCAAATATGAGGACCGAAGTTTTCTCCAAACAAGTTTCTGCAATTGAAGATAGTCCAAATTTAAGGATTCATTCACCAGCTGCTCCGGTATGCCTGCAAATCTTTTTATTTTCTCTTATTAATTGGGTTTAAGTATGATATGGAATTTCAACTATAAGCCTAGACTATCCATTAAGGTACTCTTGTTTTTAAAGAATTAGCCCTCTGTCTTAATAGAATGTTTAACAAATAATTTGTCTATTAGGACTAATGTTCCTTTTAATTATTTTTTATTGCAGCTTTCTTCACCAAGGTATCTTAAGCATGGTGTTATTCCTCCTTCAGGGGATCTTGCATTATTACAAAAACTAGAGGAGGTTGGGAGTTCTGTGAAGGTAAAACCAAGCTTACTTGTTTAGCATCTTTGACAGCGCTTATGCATCTGCTCTTAAGATTTTGATTTGATTTTGATTGCAGAGAGTTCAAACTTTGATTGAGGAACAACACAGTCTAACATCAGAAACTGCTAATTGAGGTCAGTATTTCAAAACTCAGTATGAAATACTAATTTCTTGCTTTTGATGTTTTCTTTGTTGTTCATTACTCATGCTTTTGAATTGTAATTGAACATGTACATTTTGGCAAAATTAGCTAGTCTCTTATAGTAGTCATGAATCCTAGCTTTCTCCTGCCTTCCTATGCTTTGCGTATTGACCTTGGATATTTTGATCAAAGGAGTTCCTGTCACTGATTTCACACACTCAAAAGAAGGGTGAATTTAGCGTGAAGGGAACATTTTCAATCAGTGATTCATAATAAGCTGTCAGCAATTCTATTTCTTTCCTTTGCCAGTTTCTTTGATGTTCTTATTTTGGAGTTCTACTTATCCACATGCACACATACACCCACGCTTGCCCATGTTGTCATGTTTTTTGGCTGGCAACCTTGTCACTGATGCTTAAAGAATGATAATTTAGGCTGTAAATGAGAAAGGGCATTAGCAAACCAAGTGTCTTTGCCTTTCTTGACCGGTAGTAGCCCTGCCTGTTAATTACTCTATGGCAATAGACAAACTAGCTAATATGTTTACTCCCCTACACCCAACACCCCCATTTCTTTTCAGTTGGGTTCAGACATTAGACCCATTACCCATATTCTCTGTAAGTGACTTTGAGCTATGAATGGGATGCAATCACTGCTAGCACTACCCCCAAATTCTGGTGTATGTATCATTACCTAGAAGTAAAAGTATACATCTTCAAAGAAAATTACTTTATTAAGGCCTGTAACACACTGAACCAATTGAGTTGGGTTTGGTGCATTTCACACTCAGTTATTGTGGGGATTGCAGCCTTTAAGTTTTTTTTAGCAGTTGAGGTGGTTCTGAAATCTGAATGGTAGTGTATGTAATAACCATCCTTGCATTTAGCGATTGGCAGCCTGCTAGCATCTCCTCCCATTCTTCCCTTCTGCTTTCTCTCTCTCTCTCTCTCTCCCTCTCTCTCTCTCTCTTTTGAAGAAAAGCATTTGGAAGTCAAAACTCGGTTATTAATCATAGAAAGTATATTGTCAAAGATTATTAGAACAATCAAGCTTTCTCAAATTTCCAATTAAGCTTAGCAAGTTTAGCTCTAAGAGAGCCAAATTCAAACTCAAATTCTTGGAAAATTTGATCAGGTGCACTCTTTCTATTCATTACCTATTGATATCTATCATATCTGTTTTGCTTCTAGCAGTATGTCCTGAATTTTATGTTATTGAAAACAACGGCACACAGTGCAGGTCCAAATAAGCAGCATTCAAGATGTCTTACTGTAGCAGTCAGGAGTCGATGACACATTTGTATGGTTGTTCTGATATGCCATTTCAAAGCACTGCATAAAGCCCTGCAAATGTTTCTGGTGTCAAGTTTTGAGTAGATTTGTTTACACTTTTTTCTTGTGATCGATCCTGAAGCTGCAACAATCCTGCTGCTATGTGGTTGTCCATCATTCAATTTGTATTCTCATTGACAATTAGTAAAGGAAACAATAAATCTTCTCCATATATGTGTTGATTTTCCTGTCTATTGGGGTCAGGGTATACTTCATTTCATTGTAAATTCATTTGCTTTCATTCAAATTCTTGGAGTTTGTGTTATACGTTGTCTTAATCATCATGACTATTGTTTAGTAATATTCTTTTATGTTATAATGAATGGTGTTTCACAATTTCTTGGAGTTAATTGATGATCTATTGTACATAAAATCCTGCCCCCCATCCCTTAACTCTGTTTTCATTACGTCTCTCAAATAATTAGAAATTTTAATTGGTACAAGTTACTTAAATGATAGCAAAAATACTATAAGTAAATAGTAATAACTTTTAATTGGCTGTGGTCATTTTTTTCTTTGTAGGACAGAAAAAGCTGGTCATTTTGATTACTTTTTTTTAATCAGAGAAAGTATTGGCAAATGGCAAGAAATGCCGAGTAACATATGCTGATTTTTGTCTACTTAACCTTCCTATAATTATCAGAGTATTGTTGTAATTTCTTTTACATTATCAATCAAAATCATCAAAAAAAAAAAAAAAAACTCAGACAAGAAAAAGCATGCAATATTTGGTGGAAACAAGATGGTACATTGATAAAGAAATCTCTCGATCCTTACATGGAAAAGATTGAACTCGAATCCAATGTCAGGTGGTTTCATGTCACTTTAAATTGTTATTTTTAATGACATGTCTTGTACAAGGAGTTAGAAACAAGTGTTGTTTGTAGTAAAAATTCTAGAATTCGGCTGAGAAAATGTAGTTTGGGTCACCAATTTCTGACTTGTTGGCTGAACCGTCTGCACTCAAAGTACATAGTTTGGTTCTTTACTAAGTTTGGTCAGCAGCCTTAAGAATTTTTTCCGAGCAAGCCAGGCACCAACCCATTACTCTCTTCGATTCTACTTGCCCAATGAAACAATAGTAAAAATCTCTCATAGGTCTAATTTTTCCATTGTCTACTCGAAATTCCCAGCTGCCAAACATATTTCTAGAAATCAATAGTACTATGGTATAAGAAAATAGTTTTGTCGTACTTGCACGAATCTGTTCCGTGATCTGTCGGGAGTTCAGAACAGAAATAAATGTAATATAATTGTTATGTCCGGTCCGAAGAGTCTTTTTCTTTTAATTTTCATAAAACGATGTTTAGTGTATGGGCATGGGTATCCCATGATCTATACAAGCTTTTTTCTTTTTTTTATTTATTTATTAATGAGTGTTTTACGAGCATTTATTGATATTAATACTCCTATATTAAATATAATTAATCAAATTAAATCCATTCTCAATTAATTTCGTTAGGCAATCTAATTGATTTTTAATGCAAGTAAATTTTATTTACTAATACTTGATGGAAAAAAAAATCCCGATGTAAGCAAATGACACAAGAATCAAAAACCCTACATTACTAGAAAAAAGTGACGTGCATTAAACAAAGCCTAAAAACTAGAAAGTAAAACGTATTAATTCATAAGAAGCAAACTGTGACCTAACATTTTGGCATTTGGCAAACAATCTGCACCCCTACAACCAAATTCCAACTCTCTACCCAAACAAGGAAGGAAAGAAAGAAAGAAAGAAAGAGTAGGGATATGAAGGACTATAAAAAATAAATAAATAAGAGAAGAATAATCATATTATTAATATGAGAAAATAATAGTAACGATTATTACCTTTCATAATAAAGGATTAAGTTTTAGAGTTTAATATTTTTTTAATTTTATATGTATTAAAAAATTTTTATATAATTCACAAATCACACATAATTATTTTCACAATTAAGGTGTCATTTGGAGCAATGAAAATGTTTTAATAAAAAATTAAAGGTAAATCACGATGAGCTTTGATCCATTTTTTTGAGTAAGCCTATATGTAATCTAATAACTGCATCAAGTACAAATCTCTCTGGTTTGCCCTACTTTCTTAATGGTTTTAAGTCTCAAAGTTTTGAAAAAAAAAAAAACAAAAAAAAAAAATTTAAAAACTTGAAAGTTATGAGTGTTAGTTGGGGTCCTTTGCTCATTTATTACGAAAAGAGATAAAGTGTTTTGAGGGTTGCAATCGGGTGAAGATATATTTAATAATATTATTTAAAATTAAAAAAACATATATATATATATTTGATAAAAATCAAAAGGCGAAAGGATATTAATAAACGTTCAAGTAGTTATCATTTTATTACAATTAATTAATTTTTCAAATATTTATATTTTGCAATTATGTTCTTATTAGAAAATTTTAATTAATCGTCAACATTTATGTTTTTCAAATAGAGACTCAATTAGGATAAATACAAATATTTAAAGATTTAATTAAGTGAAAGTAAATGTTTAATGATTCAACTGATCCGAAACAAAAAAAATTAATAATTAATTGGTTGCAACGTAATATTAAGTCTTAAATGATTAATAAAATTTTATTTGATGGTTTTTTTTTTTACTATTTTATCAAATCAAAAAATAAATTTTGTGTTTGATATATCGATACGAATTATAATATGATAATTTTTATATTTATACATATTAAATACAAAATAAATAAACATAAATATATAAATCGTTAAATTATAAAAAAAAAAAAACAATGTTTGAAGATGGAATTCTAATTTTTTTCCCTATTTCAAAAAATAAATATAAAGTTATACATCAACCATAAGATTCTTAAGTCTTAATTCAACCAATATCTCTTAAATACAAATTATTTACTTATATTGATGGACGAACTTTAGATATACTTTAAAATAATATTTAATACACAAGATAATGAATAAAATAAAATAATATTCACTCAATATTACATTTGGTTTGTATGTAAAGAAATACATAAGATTACAATAAAGATTAATCATCCTCTTGATATAAAATAATTCAATCTTTTCAAAATGAAAATAATTATTTTTAATCTATAAGATTAAATTTACATGTCTTATTATTTGCTTAAAAATTATATTAATAATTTAAATGGAATAAACTTTGAGAATGAATAATTTTGATAAATAAATAAATTATATTATCATAATTATTGTACACATCAAACATAAAATATAATGACATTATTAAATATAATTCTATTCATAATATCATATTATTATATTTTATCATAATATTATATACCAAATACATTATAATTTCTTTCACTGTTTAAATATAATAGTACTCATTCATAACATTGATTTAACAAAAATAAAAACAATATTTATAATTCTAAATTAATAAATTAATAAATTTATATTTAATACACTATAAGATATTATACATTATTTGTGCATTATAAATTTTCATATCATTTGTTAACAAATTTAAAATTTTAAAGTTTTTAAGAATATATTTTGATTTGATATTTTATGATATTTAATTTTAAGTTTCTTAAATTATATTTTTACTCATTAATGAGTTAATAATTTGTGATGCACTGATAGTATAAAAGTACTTATACATAGATAAAATATTATAAAACTTGTTTTGAATATAAAATTTTGAGTATTAAGAGATGCTCTCATTATTCTTATAATAAGACGTCTCAATAACAAATTAAAATTTAAAATAAATTGTCACAATATATCATGTTTTTTATTATTTATTTTAGGTTAACATAATAAAAAAGCCATTGAACTTTACAATAAGTTACATATTTTTATTACACCAAAATAAATTATTAATTTTTACTTTACACTTAAATAAATCTTAACTTTTAATTTATATTCAAACAAATCTTTTTAATTTGTACATAAATACGCTCTTAATACAATATATAATGCAAGTAAGACATTAATTTCTTATGATCATAAATGCCTGAAGTAAAATTTTTATTTTATATAAAAAGTTAATTTTTACATGATTAAAGAAAATAAAAAAATTATAGTAATTAATTTAAAATAAAAATTTATTTAAATACAAATAAAAATATAATGATTTATTTAGATATTATTAAAGTATAAAGTTTTTTTTTTTCTAAACGAAGTGATAAAAATGTTTTTTTTAATAAATATTTTAACTTTTTTAAAAATTGATCAACAGAACCTAATATTTATTTTTTTCAATTAACAAATTGTAATGAAATGAGTGAGACTAACGAATAAAAAAAAAGCAAATATAAAAGAAAAAATCCACCTAAAAATTAAAAATAGATGAAAATCAACACCAACATCAAAACAAAACAAGACAAAACTGTCATTTTCCTACCCCAACAAGCATATAATATATGCTACGTTATTAACACTCCAAATATTCTTAAAATTTAAAGCTTTTTTTATTCTCGTAACGCTGAATTTTTAATATTACTAAAATTTTAGATTCGTATTTTATTTTTTGCAAATAGACAACATTAGAAGAAAAATGACCGTTTAGGGTTAGATTTTTTCGAGGTTTGTTAACTAATCATGGATTAATGAATAATTGAATATTCTTTTATGCTAAAGAAATGTTCTCCCGTTTGTTCCATCAGCAGCGGCAAGAAAAAAAAAAAAAAAAAGAAGTCAATGAGGTCTTACTAAGGATGAAACAGAATTATATAAAAATTATTATAAAATGAAAATGAGTGGCTAAAAAAATAGATACAATAATTTATTTATTTGTGATAATATTTAATGTTAAATAATGTAAAATATAAAATTATTATATTATTATTTATGTTAACATATTAAATATGAAATATATATTTTATTTTTATTAAATTTTAAATATTATCGTTTTAATTTTTTTTTTAATATCATAGTATTAAATTTATTAAAAATATTTTTAATAAAAATAATTAATGTTTTTGAAATAAGTGTATGTGACCACAAATCATAAAAAAATTGAGAATCTGATGGACGAAAAAGTCATTTCATGAACAAACTCAAACTCAATAAAAACATTTATAATATATATATATAAATTAAAAATAAATTTTCTGTTCATAAATCCTTGTATTTTCGCTTCTCTAATTTTCTCATTGAAAACTGAAAGAGAAAAATAAAATAAAATAAATAAGAGAGAAAAAAAAAAAGAAAAAGAATAAGAAAAAGAAGAGTACTTTGGCAGTGTTATACTCTGAAGGAGACGACTGAGATTGCTCAGATAAAAAGCTTGTTTCCAAATATCGAATGCGGCTCACCATTTCTTCTTCATTTTTACTTTTCTTTTGTTTTTGTTTTGGATTCATGGGCTGCTAGATTTTTATTAACATCACATAAAAATCAATCTTTATCCAAACCCAAATCTTTCTACTCTTTATATTTTCGGTTTTTGGTTTTGTTTTTGGGATGGCATCTTCATCACTGGCGAGTTCGCTATGCACGTGGCTCGTGGCTGCTTGTATGTCGTTCACGTGCGGGAAAGACCAGTCGCAGTCCCCAATGCTCCATTCATCAGCCTCTTCTTCTGCTTCTTCTAAGAGACTCGGCCGTTGGGCTCGTAATAGAAGGAAAGCTCTGCTCTTTCAAACCAGCAACAGAGACGGGGGTTTGATTTCGTCGTTTTGTGGATCCAGTATTCAAGGCTTGATGACTTCCTGCTTGGCTTTTGAGCCCTGTAATGACTACTATTCCTCCAAAAATGGTAGCTTTTTTGGTCAAAATAAAAGCTTCTCTTCTTTCTTTGGATCCAAAAATGTTTCCATCAGTAATAATCGCAAGCAACGAAGGCTCAATCGAGGTGCTGTCCATTCTGGTAAGTTTTAGCTTCTTTTTATTCAATTGCAAAGGGAATGTCGGTTTTTGCTGCCTTTTCAAATATGGGTTCTTTTCTTCTCTTTTTTTTTTTTTTTTAGTTATTTTTATTTGTTTAATATCTGACAAAGGTTTAGTCTTCTTTACGCATAAATTTTAATTTCTTTTCTTTTTTGGAATTTGACCCTTTTTACAGAACTGTGTTTGTGTGTGTGTGTGTGTGTTTTATTTATTTTCCCTTTCTTTTAATTGCTTTGCTTGAAAGCAAGTTTGGAAATGAAAATGGAAAAACAATTTGAATATAGAGATATAGTGTGTGTGTGTATATATATATATATATATATATATATATATATATATTATAATTTGGGACCTTAATCATAATAAGGTGAGATACACCAAGGATTTCTTGTTATAAAAAAAAAAAGAATTTAACTGTGATATATATAAACATACTAATTGGTTAAGAGTTAGAAATGTAATTGCATTTAAGTTGCTATTGGTTCCATGATAATGGCAAATCATTTTTCTCAGATGATTTAAATGTATTAAAAGTATATGATACATGTGCCAAATTTTGTTCTGCCTCTTCAAACTATATAATAATCATTATATTATAAATATATAAATATCACAGATTTCTCTCTCTCTGTACCCCTGCCTTCATTCTCTCTTTTATCTCTGGCAAGTTGGTGTAGGCTGGTAGTATTTATTTTCTTGTCTTGATGAGAGGGTATGCTGCCACTTTTCATATAGAATAGGAACATGTTGGGGGGGGGCATACTAAATTTCTGGTCTTTTCTATGGATATGTGATTGTCTGTTTATGTGTGTATAGTATCTGCTAAATGGTGGTGATAGAGAAAATAAGTTTCTTCATGCACAGAATTTCATAAAACTTACCAGTTAAATTACATGCAATCTGTGGGTTAATTTATTTAAAAACTTAGGAGAAGCCAAGGCTATAGCTGTGCAACCCACAAGAGAAATCACAACAAAGAAGAAACCTCCTACGAAGCAAAGACGGGTTGTTGTGACTGGGATGGGAGTGGTAACTCCACTTGGACATGACCCTGATGTCTTCTACAACAATTTGCTTGAGGGTGTTAGTGGTATAAGTGAAATTGAGACTTTTGACTGTGCCCAGTTTCCAACTGTAAGTTGTGTTTATTAGCTCTCATCAGCTTTTCTTTGCACTGGTGCTTATTCTTAGTGCTCCCCATTTTCTATCCAGAAAATTGCTGGAGAGATAAAATCTTTCTCAACCGATGGATGGGTTGTACCAAAACTTTCCAAGAGGATGGACAAATTCATGCTTTATATCCTTACTGCTGGAAAGAAAGCCTTGGAAGATGGTGGAGTAACTGAAGATGTAATGGAAGAGTTAGATAAAGCGAAATGTGGAGTTTTGATTGGTTCAGCAATGGGTGGCATGAAGGTAGATTCTGCTGTCTACAGTTTATATGCCCTTATTTTATAAAGGTGATGGACACCTGGAAAGAAGAAAATTGCGGAAAAACACTTCTATTTGTCAATATTAAACTTAATGCAAGTAGAACATGAACACCAGTAGCTGGGCTACATGGTTTTAGTACAACAAAACATGCTGACAGCAATTACCTGCATACTTTAAAATGTGAGGAGTGCAGTTTTGTAATACTAGTTTCGCATTTAAAGCCACCTCAATGAAAAATCTTTTGCCTGAAAATTATAAGCTGTATAGGGTATATAGCACCAAGAATGAGGGCCACACAACCTTAAAACTGGGCTAAGAAACAAACTGTTCTGGCAATGTAGTTTTCTTTTGTCTATCCTTTGATTCATTTAGGTGGCTTTTGGAATGAACAGGTTTTCAATGATGCAATTGAAGCTTTGAGGATCTCATACAAGAAGATGAATCCTTTTTGTGTACCATTTGCTACTACAAATATGGGTTCTGCAATGCTTGCAATGGATTTGGTTAGCTTAAATTTAGATTCTGCAATGTTAATATAGATCTTGATTGATGTTGAAATTGGGACTTAAAGCTTTAAACTGTTGATTTCTTCAGGGATGGATGGGTCCTAACTATTCAATCTCCACTGCATGTGCTACAAGCAACTTTTGCATATTAAATGCAGCTAACCTCATCATTAGAGGCGAAGCTGTAAGTTGAGCAAAGAGAATAACCAATATATTGTGGTCTAACTTTTTTTGTACTATATCTGAGGTATTTGAAACAAAATTGTAGGATATGATGCTTTGTGGTGGCTCTGATGCAGTAATTATACCCATTGGTATCTCTTTCTTGCTTTCTTATTTGACAACTTTTTATATCTTTCCACTTGGTACAGCAGTAAGTACTCCAATTTTTTATTTTTGATTCAGGGTTGGGAGGATTTGTGGCATGCGGAGCACTCTCTCAGAGGAACAATGATCCCACCAAAGCTTCACGCCCTTGGGATGTTGTAATGTTTCATTAACTCTTGAGTTTCCAGACCTTCATTTTTCCTTTGCTGTTGGTTTTGTCTCCAAGTTCTAGAACAAAAGCAATAAAACTGAGAATGAATTAATGAAGTAACTTGGTGGAAAGTAATAGTAACTATTTTTATCATTTCAATCAGTAAGCAAACTGGTTTTTTTGTTAAAAAACGGGGTCTACCTCTGATGTTGTCATATCTTATAACTCTTTAGATCACAACTCATGAAGAGTAAGTTATGCTTCTGCACATGGTACTTTTGGCAAAGTTACTTTATATATTTATGAATTATTTTCTAATCCAAGGCAGTTATTACGTGCTTATAACTTCTTGGTCTGCTTCATGTGGGTTATTTACCTAGATAGTGGTTCTACTTTTTGCTCAGAGTCGTGATGGATTTGTCATGGGGGAAGGTGCAGGGGTTCTGCTTTTAGAGGAATTGGAGCATGCTAAGGTACACTTTCTTTACCCCTTCAAGGTTATGTTCTAAGCCTTAGGTTTGCACTTAGTGGTTTGTGGTGAAGTTACTGAATATTTAGATTATTTTCCTTCTTAGAAGGGAAAATTACCGAGTTTAGGTTTCTGATTTTGCAGAGGAGAGGTGCGACCATCTATGCAGAATTTATGGGTGGAAGCTTGACTTGTGATGCTTATCACATGACTGAGCCACGCCCTGATGGTAAGGAACCACATTTTTATTCCTGCAATGCTTTCTTCTTTAATCCCAATTTGATTTCTATCTGGTACTTCAGTGTAGAGCTTTTGTTTTGGTGAGAATAAGTCTTGTAGATATTTTTTATGAGAACAATTCTGTGTGATAGACTATAGAGTTAAGAGGAACCTTATGTTTCCTTAAAAGACTTTTTCTTTAGGCATTATATAGTACATGTCTTGATTTTAGGTGGAGATGCTATTAGGGTTTTTAATTGCTTTGATTATTGCTTGTACTGGTTAAGCAGAATAAGCATCTTGAGATTACAACCTATGCCTCTTCCTTTGAATATCCCTGGCCATGATGATGCCCCACAAATACGGAATTAGTGATATTTTACATGTTTCTTCTGCAACCGCACATGCTACTGTATGAAAGATTAAATTAACATCCATCTTGTGAAATGTAAAAATAGGAGTTGGTGTCATTCTCTGCATGGAAAAGGCCTTGGCTCAGTCTGGAGTATGCAGAGAAGATGTAAATTACATTAATGCTCATGCTACATCTACCCCTGCTGGAGACATTAAAGAGTACCAGGCTATCCTACATTGTTTTGGCAAGAATCCTGAGGTTATTTTCATAGTTTTCTCTGATACTTGGATCTTTATGCATAATCTGTTTCTCATATTTGTGATTATTGATAAGATCTCTATTATTTGCAGTTAAGGGTTAACTCTACAAAGTCAATGATTGGTCACCTACTGGGAGCTGCTGGAGCTGTGGAAGCTGTTGCTGCAGTACAAGTATGCAGTTTAGAGATTTGATTATGCTTTTGTTGGATTTAGAAAACAGACTTCATGAATGTGATTTGTTGTGCTGAATTTTGGTTGTTGGTGTTTTGTTCTGCAAGAAGACTATAATTTTTACCAGGACCCGAGCATTGATTTGGTAATATGTCTATTTATTGTAGGCAATACGGACTGGTTGGGTTCATCCAAATATCAACCTGGAAAAACCAGATGAAGGAGTGGTATGTTGCCCTCTTTTTTTCTTTTATCTATGTTTTTCTTTAAAAACTATGCTTCCCGGCAGTTTTTCTTCTTGACATGTTAATACTTTTAAAAGTAATTGTTTTTTTTCCTTCTTGATTTGATTTATTCTCGATAATCCTTCACTTGTTGGTTTTTTTGAATAGAGCTCCATCTTTTGTTTTATTCCCTCGATTTGCCAATGAGACTATCTTATGTTGCCGACACATCTGTTCAGGACACAAATGTGCTGATGGGGCCAAAGAAAGAAAGATTGAATGTTAAGGCTGCATTGTCTAATTCTTTCGGGTTTGGTGGCCATAATTCCTCTATCATTTTTGCCCCACACAAGTAAAATAGTTTAATCATTGCTCTTCCAGCGTTTTCTTAGATTTGGTCGAAGGTATGTAAACTCATTTAAGGACATTTTAAGATACAAATGTATATTATATCAGTAACACACCTGCTGATCTAGTAAAATTTCCATCTGCTATTTGGTTGGTAAATGGTAATGGGTGAGCTCCATCATGCAGGTTACCCAGAAAATATCTTCTGTAGACAAACATTACTTTGAAAGGGTTTATTATAAGAAGTATGGTGGCCAGATAAGGGGAGCTTTAGAAAAGACCTGACAGTATGGCTCTACCTAACTAGGGAGGACGTTAAGTGTTCACCATGGTCCATTGCGCTGTTGTTTTTGAAGAAGTCGTTTTTCTCTTAAAATTTAGCTACAATGGAGCTTTTAGTCTTTTAGCTGTTATGGGCCATTGAACCACCAGTAAATGTGGTAGATGGAGTTCTGGTCTTGTGTACAGGAAAAATGGCTGATCGGTTGTTTTTGCACGTCAATTTGTAATGAATTTTGAGCTGTCAGATTCCTGGTTACACTTTCTAGATTGGTGGTTTATGACTTTTTATGTTCATGCAAGCTTTGTTTGCTTCCCTTCTGCTTCCTATAACCTGCCCCTTGAAGAAAAAAAAATGCATTTCCCATTCAACTGCCTCGGCAAGAAAAATAGAAATTACCTGTCTTTTTCCACAAGAAGATATCTCATTGGCGTTTCTCTTCAATTAGCCTTGTATGATATGTTTAGACTTCAGATGATAACATGGCATCGAGACATCTCATTGGTCGCTCTGTTTGGGAATGAGAGAAAAGGACCTCGTTCTTGAGGTTTGTTTAAACATGGGAAGGACACTAGACCTAAAAGATGGTCCTTTCATGGTTGCGTAATAAGAATGAAAAAGAAATTAACCATCTTTTTCAACCATAGCTTGTGTTTCTTTAAAAAAAAAAAAACTTTGGATCAAACGCAGGAGAAACACAAGTTCTTACACACGAGTAATGACATAATACAATATTCTCAAACTGAAAAAATTTAAGAACTAAAAAAAAAAGGCGAATTATTGAATTATTATGCCGATCGTATTTCTCATATTCCTCCTCCTAATCTTCTGCATTCTTTTCTCAATCTTTCCAATGATACACACAAGGAAGATATTTTTTTGGTCCAGCCATCTTATCCACCAACCATAAGTTATCTTTGCTCAAAATGATGTTCAATCATCAATTCACGCTACAAAAGAAAAATTGATACATCTTCAAGATCAGCAATTCAACCCGCTGACGCTGTAATTATATACACAATTAACATAATAGAGTTACTCCAAATGCAACAAATCACTTCCAAAATTTTGGCTGTAGTTCGAATAAAAACTATTGAAAGAATTTTCTGAGACCTGGGCAAAAAACACCTATCTGGTGCTGCTGTGTTTTGGATGTTAATTTCACCTTTTCCTCTTGCCACCTTTCTTTTGAGCCTTCCTAAACTTCGTAAATTTAACAGAGAGTGCATTTGAGACACTCTTGCCTTCAAGCTTTTTTGTCATTTTCACCACACTTGCCATGCCCTTCCTTGCAGCTGCCCGATGTTCTGGCCTACGGCTCATCATCTTGCGATCAAGAGGCCAGTATGCATATGGTTCAAGCTTATCCTTCCTCTTCACATCCCCACCAGCCTTCTTGCTAGCATACTCATTTCCTGTATATGCCCATCCTGACTCTGATGTTTTCCTTCGCTTCTGGTTGTTCCTTGAAGAGCCAACAGAAAAATGACTTTGTCCTTCACTTCTTGCATCTGAATCAGGGTCAGAGGGTGAAACTTTCTTTGGCTTCCTTCCCTCCTGAATTATCAATCGCCCATCAGGGTCAAACTCTGGCTCATCATCAGAATCTTGCTTTCGCTTGAGATGTGAAGATGATCGAATTGCTGATCTTGTTTTATGCCGATCAAGCAAGTCTAGTGGCTCATCTTCTAACTGGTCAAACAAGTCTTCAGGCAAGCTCTTATCTGCTCTCCGCATTTTCTTGGACCTAAACCAAATGGTCTGATTATATCAGCTTAAAATTAACCGAAAGGAAAACACAAAGATAAGGACACTAGATAGTGAACCCATGCTCTCCACAAGATGACTAATGGAATTCTCTACTCCTCGATTAAACACCAATACCCAGGCCCCCTTCCCACAATTTTCCCCTCATATTCTCAACACACCCAAAGGTATAACTGCATATGATTGGATCATGAAAGATAGCATATCTCCTTTAAGTTTCAAAACCATTTGAAAATGTCAACAAACCAACATGATAGAACAATATCAAAATATGGGATCACATCAATCAGACTACTCTAAATACACTAGAACTAATAATTACTACTATACAGAACAAGGCTCAGCTGTCCACTGACCGGAATGAAGATGCTTTTGATTTTAACCTTGAGGAAACTTTGCTCGGTTGGCCAGAAGCCATCTCGGCATCACTATCATCTGTATTGTCACCACCAAAATCAGAAAATATTTTTGTATGATTCCATCTGCTTAGCCTGCAAATTTAAATAACTAGGAAAAATCAAAGGTGCGCAGATAAATAAGATACAAAAAACTTGATTAGGAAGTTCATCATTCTGCTCAACAATGAAAGAGGGAAAAACAGTAAAATAGAAGGTTCACCATGGCCAGTGGCCACAGCTTTTCAGATACAAGCAAAAGCGAGAACTGGTAATTCATATAGTAGTGTCGTGCAAAATACTGACAATTCGTGTATTCGTGTTGTTTTTTACATGAAAATTCTGTCACAATTTGTGTCAACACGAAAACATGAAATTTTCTTTTTTTTTTGTTTTGTTAAACTCATACGGTTTTGCTAAAATTTTAAATCATATCACTTTCGTTTCTTTTTTTCGTATCATTTTCGTATCTTGTTCTAAATTGCCAATTAGTTCATAAATATGTGAACATGTGTAGCATGTATATTTTAATTTGAACACATCAATCACTACATGATGATTGTATCAATGCAAAAAAGCAAGTTGTGAAACCTGGATGTAGTTGCCTTTGACAGATGAGATTTACTTTCCACAGAGCTAGCAGCCTGTTTCCTCTCTTTCCGCTCCTTGATCTGTGTTTAATAATGAGGAACAACATCATTCAAAAAAGAAGCCTTGACATATCTGCAAACATACCCACCCACCCACACACACACACACACACACACATATATATAACAAAATGACATTCCTCAACAAACCTTTCGTATGTTACTAAGGAGTTTCATGTGTTCTTCAGGCATCACGGCCTTTACAGCATCAATACCACATTTCCTGACTAGCATTTCCAGAAGAAGCTTAACCTGAGAAAAAGTAAATGATATCATCGCTATACACAGTTCAATTGTATAAAACATCTTGGTCCAAATATACTTCTAAATACATTAATTCGCAAAAGCAAAATGAAATAAAAATGAACCCCTAAAATGCTTGATGGGTTGACAATCATTGATACGACAAAACTAGAGGTTCTATAAGGAAAATGAAGTCAGTTATCTCACTAAATTGTAAAGCAGAATATATATAAAACTTTGTCATTTTTTAAAGAACTAAAGAATCAAATAGATCACAGGTAAGAGGAGCACAAACCTTAGCTTTAAAATGATTTTTGGTATCATCTTGCCACTTCAACAAACCTTCCACCAAGCTGGCCAGGTGTGCTTGCAAGCCTTCAGCTTTTGATTTGGCCACCAATACTTTCAATAAACCCAAATTAGCCTGCATCATAAGCAATTGCAGACATAAGTGATGGCAGTACAAAAAATAGATTATAAGGAACAGAACCATAAGCAAATGTATGTGAGTGAGTGTGTGTATGTGTGTATGTAAGAGAGAGAGAGAGAGACTTTAATAATTTCTCTGTTCTTTCTTTGAAGGAGAAGAAATGTGGATGGAAGCAACTTGTAAGCAAAAGAAACAAGATCAGAAAACTCATAAGCCAACCGAGCCAAGCCTTTCACAGCAGCACTAATCATGTGAGGAGTTTCTCCAGCCAAACCTCTAGCAACCTGCGATCATTGATAAGAAAAATTTAGTAATCATTTTGAGCATACAAAATCCATATAGAATAACACTTAGAAGTGATAATAATGTATTTCTTTAAAAGAAGTAATAAAAAAACAGAAGTACTTTTGAGACATTTATAATTTGCTAAAGCTACGAAACAAAATAAGGCAACAATGTTATGTATTGCCATTTTGGTTGGAAGTGTGTGTCTGTTGGGGGGGGGGGGGGGGGGAAGGGGAGTTATCAGAAAGTGAAGTACAACGTCTTGAGCGACTGCGATGAAGAGGGAGATGCTTGACTCGACTGGAAATGACGGGTCGACAACTCCGAATCACAAGCTATTGACAACTAACTAAACCACTCCGGATGAGGGGTGAAAGATTCCGCCTTCCTTCGAGTATACGCGCTTTCTCACTAAATGGGGGAAGTGGAGGAAGGGACTTGACCCCCACTTATAGCCTATTACACAGGTTCAATTTCTTTACAAGAAACAAACCAGAATTATGTAAGATATTATAACTTTTTGCCAAACCAACAAGACTTATTGGGGTTGTAAGGATGTCAAGATTTAATACCATATTAAACAGGTATTCTCTCTGTCCACTGTTGTCTTCATCTCCATATTCATGACCAATTTGGACAAGGACCTCATAAGCTCTATTTCTAGTTTTCTTATTAGCCTGTATAAAAGTCATCAGACAGAAGAAATCAGAAAACATATGTAGGAAGCAATTCCAGAACCTTTAGGATACTGCCCATGCAAAAATAATAACAGGCAATACTTTACTTTTTACTTCCAGAAGGTTGCTTAGTCAAAAGAAAAAAGGTAACACCTCTTCTTCAATATTAGACAGACGTTGCTTATCAGATATTGACATCATACCTCTTTCAAAGCAAGGATTATTTCAGTCAGGAAAGAACTAAGAATCTCACTTCTCATTCGCTGTGAATCATCCTGGACAAAGAAGCATTAGTTAATCTTCAAAAAAGATTGTTAGAATCATTGATTTAATCATCTAAATATTTTATGTCAATTCAAAGGTGATGGAAAATTCAATTTAATTTCTTACAACCTTTGAGGCATGGACTATCAGATGGTACAAACAGTCAAGTCTGTGACGTTTGGCAGAAAAGTGGAATGATGGCAGCACTTCAATCATAAGTTTAAGCAATTCCTCCAGTTTTGCTGATAGAAAACCTTCTTGATTCTGACCAGAAAAACAAAAATATGGACCCATCATTAAAAATGAAACATTAGAACAGAAGAGAGAGTGAGAAGTAACAAAGGGAATACTGGAAATTGGAATATAAAATATACATCAAAATGCATGGAAACAAATGAAGATAAAACTTAGAAGCATTTGCAATGAAAGGGAGATACCCTGAGGATTATTGAAAGAACTTTGTAAGCCTTCTTCTGAATTAAGCCGTCGACATCCTGCACATTAATATTACCATTTTCATCATAACAACTGAGCCTCTCCAACATAACTTAATCAACAAGTGAAATAATAATTACTATCACC